AGAAATACTGTGATATGTTAAAAGTGAAAGTAATGCCAAAAAATTTTAAACTTATTCGTGTGACTGTAAAAAGAGAAAATTATTGTGAATATGTGTTAAAGGTTGAATGAATGTAGTTAGGCTCTCTGACGCTACACTTCAGAGTTAGCCACTTTCAGAATAGTACCTCAGGGTTTAGAGATGAATATAAGGTGTGTTATGAGGTCTTGTTATGTTGAATTTTAACACGTTAGTGTTTTGATTGCAGGCGGTAGTGTTGAACACTTGTACATAAACACATTCGTGTTTGGTGTTTTCTTTTACAACACATGTCAGAGAGCACGGGAAGAGATAATTAAATAAAGTCATGAATGAAATAAGAATGTTAAGAGAAATATAAATATTCATGTTACTTGCCATTTCATTGTGTAACATTTCATTAAACTAGTTTTCCTTCCAGATCTCTGGAAGGAACCAGATTTCAACTAGAAACTCCTGTTTAGATGCAGTACAGATGAAAAGTAATTGTCCATGGAATTGGTAATGTAAAAAACGAATTTTTTTTTTAAAATTTCTAGTTTCTAGTGAGAAATGTTTGTAAAAGATTGGCCTCGCGTTAGATTCTAGAGCTAAAAGTTTTCAACAAGGTCGTTTTAGACCTCAGTTTCAAACTAATTAACTCTGGCGGGAAGTATGTAAGGATCTTAAGTTTTACTAACGTTTATTTTATTTTAAATCTTTACTATCACTTCTTATTTTCTACTTCCGGCCAGAATTAAAAGCTTTAACTTATTTATGCAAATTTGTCTTGCGAACGCCAAGTACTTAAGTTGTGGCTTTTTGCCAAGCGAGAGAAAGAGGAAGGAGTTGGAGAAGCAGGCCGCTTGCTTCAGCAGTTTTATTCGGTTGCTGGTTGCCTTCTAGGCCAGAGGTTTAATCCTCTTGATAATTTTAAACGTATCGTAGTGTTAACAGTTCTGTGTACTACATACGGCCTTTCTGTTAATATATGGCCAATCTTCGAGTAGACACTTGTTTATTAATCCAAAGTTAGTTTAGTTAGAGTTTAGTTAATATTTTTATATTCTTACGTTCAGACCACAAGTGGTTGGTCTCTGTATTCCGAAGTCCGGAAATCATTGTAAAGAGAGAAAAATAAAGGGTTTCGTATACCCTTCCTGTGTATCTTGTCTACTTCCCACATTTATTGAACATAGCTTTAGTAAGCTCCCTGTTCCGAGTCAGGTCATTTAAATGTTCCCCAAGCAAGTAAAGAGGAACACTGAACCTGATAAACTCAGTAGCTTTAGAAAGGTGCATGCCTTCTAAAGGCCTAAACTTATCGTTGAGAGTGAGGCATCCTTTGGATGACAGAGACATCCTTGAGAGTGAGGCATCCTTTGGATGATGACAGATGGTTAAAATTGTGCTAACAGATGGAAAAAATATGCTTTTTTAAAAAATATTTGATTTAAAAAATCATAGAAATGAAAACATGGCCCCGGTTCAGCAATGCAAAACAAGGTCTTAAGAAAAGTTTCTAAACTGAGTTTTTATCACATACGAAATGCATTAAAAAGGCGAAAATCAGTAATATAGTAGCACTGGACCAGGAAACAAATTTTCAAAAATAATCAAGTGGTATGAAAATTAATCAAAAGTACAACATGTACAAATTTTTCTTAGCAATTAAGTTTTCGTTTCCGTAGAATGAAGTCAGAAAGTGTCTTTAAGATTTTATTAAAAAGTGCAATAAATACGTGTGTGCGTTATATAATCCTGGTTCATAAATACAATATATTAGTTATGTACGGTTAATTATTCATTTCGAATATGAAAAAGAAGAAACTTTTAAGTCAACGGGAAACATATTTACAGAAGAATAATTCTCATTTCCTTTGCAAAGCGTTGTAAAAGATAAATAGGAAAATATCTGAAAATTCAATGACTTGCAGCGGCAATAATCTAAAAGTGGTAATAGTCAAACTATTGTAAAGGTTATCAATAAGGTACTTCACAAAAATGATTTACCAAAACACGCCAACATCAACATTGAAGAATTCAAAATGAAAATATTCATGTAAGCTTTCCGAAATGAAATGTACAGTATTTCAGGAAATATTCACTTAACTTCTAACTTGTTTGTAATTTTTTTAAATCATATGTAATGGGTGTATATGAGATACGAAATGCATTCGTATGCAAAAAAAAAGAAAAAAAAAAAAAAGAAAAAAAAGAAAAAAAAAAAAAAAAAGATTTAGCTATTTGGCAATGAATCAAATTTCATTAGAAATTTAAGAAATTTAATGCCATGAAAAGTAGAAAAAATACATCTGTATAGAAAATCTTGATGATAATTTCTGCGTTTTTTTTTTTTTTTTTCAAATAAAAAGTAATTAAAGGCTCATAGGTTAGTAACGAACTGCTAAATTCGGTCAGTTTTCATCAGAAACGCAGTAAGAAGTTCTCCGTACTGATAAAAGTAGGTGTCCGCCGTTAACATCGCAACAAAAACATGGCGGACGAAAACGTCGCGGAGAAAACAACGCAAGGCGGAAACGTGGTGCTACAAGACATCGCAAAGAGAAAACATCGCGGTACAAAACATCAACGGCGAAACTAAAGCGGTTCAAAAACTTCGCAGTTTAAAAACATTGTTGCCGAAAATATCGTGGTAAAAAATAAAGTATCTACAAATCATCGCACGAAGATAACATCGCAGACATGCTTTTTTCAGGTTTCAATAATTGTAAGTGGATATTTACATAATGATTTGTGAGCGCAAGATGTAAAGAAGGATAATTTTTACTTTCACATTTTTATTATTAACTAATACGTTTTTGATGACAATTATATTATACTTATGGATTATAGATTATACTTACTTATAGATTATACTTTCCATGAAAATTACCAGTAAAAACTTTATATAAAAAAAAAGATTTATTAATGACCTTTGTTAGTTAACTATATCGGTTTAAAATTCTATTAAGTGCTATGAGTTGCATTAATTTTCAATTAGCAGAAAAGATGAAAAATATGCAACCATCTTCGCCGGGAATCGAACCACGGACCTCTGGAATACCGGCCCAGCGTGCTACCGTTACACCACGAAGGCACGCTAGGGAAGTGAGAGAAATACCTTATAAGTTTCCTTCTTATTTTCTCAGCAAAAAATTATTAGTTAATAAAAAATATGAAAGTAAAAATTATCCATCTTGCGCTCACAAATCATTATAGGAATATCCATTTACAGTTATTAAGGCCTGAATAAAGCATGTCTGCGATGTTATCGTCATGCGATGATACTTTATTTTTTACCACGATATTTTCGACGACGATGTTTTTAAACTGCGATATTTTCGACGTCGATGTTTTGTACCGCGATGTTTTCTCTTTGCGATGTTTTCTCCCACGATGTTTTGAAGCACGACGTTTTCGCCTTGCGTTGTTTTCTCCTCGACGTTTTCGTCCACGATTTTTTGCCGCGATGTTTTCGGCTATAACCTAAAAATATTACTTAAATTCTCTAGCTTCGTGACTTTCCTCAAACATTAGCAGGACCATCGGCTGTCTCAGCAATATAAGATAACTATGTGTGTAGTAGATTTCTTCAAAGCTATTAAAGAAATAACGTTTGGGAAAAAATATGGACATTTTCAAGAAAAATGTTCTCTTATGTTCTTTCGGTATTATAATTGTAAACAAAATGCAAAAATTAAGTAAATACATAGATAAATCTCAAGAAAAACGGTAAATTAACATGAAATGTTTTATTGAAGTCTATGTAAATCGAAAACAATGATCGTAATAAATTTGAAAAAAAAAAAAAAGTCATAGTTCATATACTATGCATTAAAATTTTGCTATCGATTTATGAATTCATAGAAATTAGCAAAAAGAGTAATTTACCATGTTCGCTTGCTTACAGTATATTCTTTTGTCGTTTTAATCATTTTGTTTTTGACTTGCATTATTTCTGAAGTTGTAATATTTCTGAATCTGAAGCTTTAACACACAAAATCTCTCTGATTTATCAACATGTGCCTAAATGGTAATATTCAAAGCCGTCAGGTAATAAAGGTAATACAGCCATCAAAACGGAAGGTTTTTAGTATAAGTAAATGTACTACAGACAAAATAAAATAAAAAATACTTCATTATTTTTCATGCTCTGTTAATGAAACTAGTTAAGTTTCTTATTCCTGACTTAATCACAGTCCGAACATTTTCAGAAAATTTTTAAATTAAAATTAGTCATTTCTTGTTTATTGTTTGCATACTAAGATATTAATATTGCTGGAAATCTGACATTTTTCTTATTCCATTTTATATTTCGCTATTACGGTTTGGCTTGGAGAGAAATTTTTCCATGGATATGGCATATCCCTCGTGTGTGACTGTGACTGTTCTAATAAATTACATTACCAATTAGTGTGAATAAAATCTTTAGTCATACAGGAATTATCTTGAATGTTTGCTTAATCTGAAACGAAAAATGTGGCCCATGTGCAAAAATAGAGGAAACCTTACCTTAAAAAGTCCTCCCCGAATGCATTTTCCCCTTGGTCTTTACATGTTTTTCTGTATTTATCACCTACGTTCATTGTGTACCTATCTTTTCTCTAATTTGTGAAGTAATTCTGTTTGAATACTTGCATTTGAATCTTTTTTAACTGATTTTAAAGTACATATATATTTTTATCAATGCGTTGGGAAATGAAGAACACTAATACCTAATAGTTCTCAGCACTTTATCTTTTCTTCATTCTTTTTTTTTTTTTTTCTGAAGAATACAGCTGGTTGAAAGAGAAATGTGTTTTATACATTGTGAAATGCATTTTATGTACGTATTATGTGTGATGCTCATCTCAGTCTGATTATTCCTTCATGATATTGCAATTTTTATAGCTAGGAGTGTAACAATTAGATTTTATTTCCAAAAATATAATAAAAGAAAGTACTTCAATAAAAGTACTTTAGTAAAAGAAAGTTTTGAAAAACTACTGCATTTATTTTAGGTCCCTATGAATTTGATGACATTGATCGAGTAAGCAGAATTTTGAAATTAAAATTGGACGACATAACACGTCAACAAAAAGAACGTCTTCCATCTCAGGCCATTTGGCTCCACAGAACCAAGAAAAGAAGCGAGAGATTCATTCTGTATTTTGTATTTAACCCGTCACGTAGGCTTGGAAAGCGCAATTTGCGCAGTACTGTAGACTTTGCCAAGGCCATTATAAGGAAGGTAAGTGATAATGAATCATTTGCAAGGGATTTATTTATTTAAATTAACCGGTTATTTCGTGTTAAGAAATTTTACTCTCATTTTTTCCTTTCCGTTTTCCTCCCAGAATGCAAATTTTATCTCGAGCGTGCGTATTTAAATGGAATAGAAAGATACAGTATTTAAGTGAGAGTTTCAGACTGATTTAGCCAAAGCGTGTTCCACCTGTTGAAGGCCACGTTACTAGTTGATAGTCCAGGTTAGCATTCTGTCTATAGCATTACTTTACTCTTGCAAATAGTGCTGTACAGTCAGTGCAGGTTAAGCCGAACTGCGCCTTAAAAATTTCGGCTTAGGGTCTTCAAGGGTCTAGGCTTAGTGTATGCTACCAGAAAGAGTGAGAGTCTACAGTGTATTCTTTTGCGAATATCTTGTCTGGGTATGATTACTAATATTTGTGTGCAGTTTTTTGCGCACAATTATTAATAAAAATTATGTTTAGAGAAACCTGAAGCTGCAGTATATAGTAATAAATTTATTCAAAACTGAAAGGAAAGCATTCTTACTGCGCCAAAAAAAAAAAAAAAAAAAAAAAAAAAAAAAAAAAAAAAGGGGTCAGTTCTATATCTCCCGTTCTACTGGACCGAAATTGCGTTTTCATATCTCGAAAGCGTGGCTTAGGATATATACTAGATTTATATATAGCATTGTTCTAACGTAGGTATTTTGACACAAAATCGGACTTTTTCTGAAATAACATACCAAATGTTTTCCATATTTCAATTCTAAGACTCAAATTATGCCTAAGTAATAAATTTGGTACAAAATTTACGGAGATTTTTAAAAATTTATCTTAACAGAATTTTTTCAGTTTTCGCCAAGAATAATTCACTTGGCAAACTTCTTAATATGTGGCAAATAATTTTCCTTTTCCTTCCATTATGCCGGAGCGGAAAAAAGGGCACCTCGTTCCTACCTTTTTACATTGTGCACGAGCGGAAAAAAAACTCGCATCGTTTCTGCTTCCAAATAGTTTCTGCAAAGTGTCTAAACCACATTTGATGTTTTATTGCTTTCAACAAATATACCAAATTTCAAAATGCGCAAATATATAAATTCGCGTATATCTTCGGAAATTTTGAAAAAAAAAAACTGTTAATTTTTGCAGCTATGCTTAGGAATACGTCTACTTTAAGATGATAATGGTCAATCTTCTATAGATTTCTTTTTTGAAAAATTTATGAAAATTATTTTAAAATACAAATTTTTAAAATAAACCATAAAAAATGGGTGAATTTTATTTGCAATGAACCTAAATTGCGAAGTGTGAAAGGAAGAATGAAATAAGTTTAATAAAAAAAAAGAGAGATTAATAAATAACCCAAACTAAAATTGAGAAGCTAAAATATTTAGAGCTAATTTTTTAAAAACTACTCGTGCGATTTTTACAAAACTTGGTATTTTGGCGTAATTTGAGTCGTAAAATTGAAATATGTGAAAAAATTGGTATGTTATTTCAGAAAAATTCCGATTTTTGTCTCAAAATAACTATATTAGGGCAATGCTATATATAAATATAATACATATCCTAAGTCGCGCTTTCGAGACATGAAAAACACAAGTTGAATTTCGTCAATCGGCACAGTAGAACGGGAGATATAGAACTGTCCTTTTATTTCCCGCAGTATATATATGAAGCAAATGCAATTGAGTTTCTTTTTAGTACATGCCTAAAATGGCAAAGATGAAAATATTGCGACTGAACAAGAAAGCATAAACGTATCCGACTAATGAAGTAATATTGTACAAGATAAATGAAATTTGACTGAGAAATAGGATTATATAGGTAGAGATATTACATATTAAAATTATATTATTTTCTTTCTCCTAAAAAGAAGAATTATCATCAGATACGGATTCACAAGCAATGCGCAGAATTATTTGCATGCTTTATGTATAGTTTAAGATCTTGAAACGATAACGGTTTATTCAAGAACTCACTTCCTGTCATCGCAGCCCTTTTGAATGACTGCTAAAACCTGACGCCCTTCAAATATTTTTTTTAATGCGCGAGCAGAAAGATATTTTAGATAGAATTTCATAGCATATCAGATAGAAGATAGAGTTTCAGAAGAGCTTCTTGAGTTACCTTTCTAACAATGCAAAAAAATTGTTAGCAAGGTCAAGAATATAATTTTTACAACTAAATATTAAAAATATGAAAAAAGCCTGCAGCATTTTCATGTTATGGAAAAATATACTTATTTATTGTGTGGCTAGGAAGTGATTTAGATTTAAAAATAAAATTTTCTTTTAATAATTTCCCAACAGTCTGATCAAAACACTAATAATTCTTTACATGTATTAAAGAAAGATGATTCATTTAATCTGTAAAGATTATAAAATGGCTATTTTTATTATTGAATTTTTAATAGAAATTAACTGAAATTAGAAACTGATTTTTGTAGAATAATTTAATTATGAATATATTGAAGAACTCGATTTTGGGCTTGTTAAGTCATTATGACTATTTAACTGTAAGATTACGTCATTTTTTCTCTTCTTGGCGCCTTGCATGGCGCAGATGTTCATTACAACAACCCTGTAAACGCTTACTCAGTTTTTTTATTGCTGTTGTTGTTAGTAGTAAGTCATCGCTTGAAAGATGGCACGCATTTGATTAAAGTTGTCGAATAAAATATTTAGTACAGTCCACTTCTAGTTAATTTGAAATTGTTGTATAACAGCGCACGCATCGCATGAACACTTTATGGCCCGCCGAGCCATAGGTAAAAGATATTGTTGCTAAAATTAACTTTTTAGAACATTTAGAATACTTTCGTTTGGTTGTATTACGCATAACTTCATATAGAGTGTTTGGAATGCTTTCGTTTTCGTGTGGATTACGCAATTAAGATTGGATACTGTGTCATCGTTCATTTCCGGTGTTGCTGTCGAGAAATCTGCAATCACGGTAAGTGATAAATTATTTATTTGTTCATGATGAGTGAATTGAAAGCGATTAAAGCTAACAAAAAAAGCTTAAAATGCAGTATCAGAAAGTTTGAAAATAAGGTAAATTCTACAGTGGATGAAGCAGATATTTCCTTATTGGAGTTATACGAATCAAAAATATTAGAATTTAAAAAGGAATTAAGTAACATTTTCGATTCTTTATTTGCACATTGTGAAGAAAAGGACACTGACGAATTCATTAAGGAAAAGGAAAATGTAGTAGATAATCTCGATGAAATTCATTTGAAAATTAAAAGAAAAATTTCTGAGATCAGTTCTCAAAGGAATAGCTGTTCAAATGAAAACGGTTCGAGTAAAGACATAATTGTTTCGGATATAAAATTACCTAAATTGTCTCTTCCAATATTTAGTGGGAAAATCGAAGAATGGATTGAATTTGAGGATTTATTTTCCGCAGCTGTGCATAAAAATAGCAAATTAACTAATGCGCAAAAATTGCAATATTTAAAGAGTTCGTGTAAGGCAGACGCTTTAAATATTATTCAGTCCATTCCAATTTCAGATTCGAATTATGACATAGCATGGAATCTGTTGGTTGATCGCTATTGCAACAAAAAAGATTTGATCAATTCTATCATAAAGAAATTAATTTCTATACCTCAAACGAGTGATTCTACTTCGTCACTTTTAAAATTTATCGATAAGGTGCATGAATGTTTACGATCCTTGGAAGCATTATAGCAAAAGGTGGAAGAATTTTCAGACACGTTAATTGTTTATTTATTAGTTGAAAAGTTGGATAGAAATACTCGGTGTTAGTGGGAAAGGTCACTTAAAAAAGACGAGATAGGAACGGTTAAACAACTGACATGTTTTTTGAAGGAACACGCTCGCACCCTATCACATTACAAACCTCCGCCTGGGGAATCGAAACGCTCATTTAATACCAAAGCTCTTACATCACTTTCGGAAAATTCAAAAAATTGTCCTTATTGTAAAGCTGATCATTTATTGTTGAAATGTGCGCAATTCTTAAATCTAACAGTCAAGAAACGATTTGAATTTGTAAAGACAATTTCAATTGTTTATCTTCGGTCCACACAATCAAGGACTGTAAAAGTTCTAATACATGCAGAAAAATGTCAGAAATTCAACAATTTGCTCTTGCATTTTGATTGGAGCGAAGAAAATTTCGATAGAGCAAATGGCACATCGAAACAAAACACAAACAAGACTAATAAATTAAGCAGTAATCTTTCTCCAAATGCTGATACATTTACTCCAATGGCAAGCAGCCAAAAGGTTAGTGACACTAATGAAACCAACCAAGCAAAGTCCATTAACGGTACTGCGCTGAATATTTCCAGTTCTTTTAATAAACAAGTTCTACTTTCAACTGCAATTATTTTCGTTAAGGGTAATGATGGAAAATTTATCTCGCTGAGAGCCTTGCTGGATTCCGGTTCTCAAAATAATTTCATTACTAAAGAATGTGCTGAATTATTGAATTTGAAGAAAAGAAAATAAACGCTTCTATTTCAGGTATCAATGGTACAGTTATGGGTGTTAAGGAAAAAGCTATAGCAACCATCGCTAACGCTACTAGAGATTTTATTCGTACCTTACAATTTTTTGTTGTTCCAAAAATAACTCGCGTAACGCCTGCTAGATATATAAACATTCCTGATGTTAAGCAGTTGCAACTCATTGGTTTAGCTGATCCAGAGTTTTATAAACCTGGTCAAATACATGTTTTATTATCTAACGAAATATTTTTTGATTTACTGGGAACAAATAGAATAAATATGCAAGACCTGATTCTCCATCAGTCAGTTTTTGGATACATCGTTAGCGGGTCAGTACGCACGCCGCAGCAAGGCAGTGTTGATAATTTTTGTGGGTTTGTGGAAAATGGGGATAATTTATCTGACAACATGAGAAGGTTTTGGGAGATTGAATTAATGAAGCAAAAAAAGTGAAAAGTCAGGAAGAGGAATTTTGTGAACAGCACTTTCTTCGTACACACACGAGGCAAGATGATGGCA